AGCAAGGGCCCTGTCAATCGTTGCATCGCACCTCGCGCCACCACCGCAAACTTGCGCTGCTGGTTGGACGGCGACCTCCGCTCGCTGTGCAGCTCCATCCCTCAATCCGTTTAACTGGTTACTGCGCACCTCCCTGGTCTTGGGGCCGAAGCTGCCCCCTCTGTGGCCAGGGTCCTGGGCAGCTTTGGCCGCTTCCGCCCCTCCGCGCAGCAGATCTGCCATGCCAGCTGGAGACAGGCAACGGTGCCTCCTCGAAAGCCCCGTCAGGTCCTGCAGCCCCTTCTTCCCCATGCTCTCCCGCCGAACGAATAATCGCCGTGCTCCCCCTGGCCGGTGCACGCCAGTTGGGTCATCACCGCCATCATGCCCATGGTCGAGCCCATCTCCTTCGCACCGAACCTGGACCTCGAACGACTTGTCGTACCTGCGGGCGCGGTCCAGGGTGAATTCCGCTGACAGCGCTTTCAAACCTTCTGGGCGAGCTTGGATCCCCTTGGATTCAAGACGTCTGCGCACTGCTGCGCGAGTCGCTTCAACGGGAGCGACGTTGAGCTTCAAAAGGCGGGCATGAAGACGAAGGTATGCAAGGGCCCTGAGGCTGCGGACACCACCGCCTGGCTCATCTTTGAATGTGTTATAGAACGCTGATGAAAATGCATCCCGCGTACAATGCGGGATGGCACCCTTGTCAAGCCTCACAGGGTCGTCGAGTAGCTTGAACAGCTTGAAGGGAAACCTGTTGAATAAGCTCGCGACATATTCATACACCCACATGTCACAAGATGATACAAGACGGCATGCCAAACTCCACAACTCCATGGTTTGATTATCCAGTGGCATCAAAGTCTTGCCACAACATTTTCTCTGTCAGCAACAGGTGAGACTGGGTATGACACGTCTGCTCGATGTTGCCCTTCGCGGCCTCGACAATCGGATAAGTCCTGCTCTCGCCACTGGGCGACTGCTTTATACGCACAGCTGATTGGGCATCTTGGCGGGAGCCCCACTGGGCGCCTGCAATCACCATGTGTGCTCTTACCAGGCAGACTAGAGGTTCCAAGACTTGCCTCGCGATGAGACATGGTGCCAAAGGGCGCCCTGCAATGAACGCTGCAGCTTTCCTCCGCATCTCAGCTGCCTCCTCGCGCGCGGCATCTTCTGGAGATCCACCTCCTGGCTCGCCCCGCTGGTTCCCGAGGCTCGCCCGACCGACGCCCCCGTCAGCGGCGCCACCGGCACCGCCACCATCCATTAGCACGGGCAGAGGTCCGTGAACGCCTGGCGGATGGGCGGCAGGGGCTGGCGGGCGGGGCGCCCCCCCCCCACCCCCCGCGCGAGGGCCTGGAGGCACCTGCCGAACCCCGAGCGCGAAGGATGGCCACGATGCGGAAGCCAGGCCGTGGCAACCCTCCAGAAGGCAGCATTCGCTGAACGCGTTATCACACCGTGTCCACCGATATCTGGGATAGATAATAAATCTGGAATTGACCAGGCAGCGTCGAATTGCATCGGCCACAGACCCCCTCAACGTGCGCTCGTCGAACACCACCCCGTCTGGCACGAGCACCTCGATATGACGAGCATTCCTCCAATCACCGTTCGGTAACACACACAAGGCCAATCTCTGATACAATAAGTCCATGCCGCGACCAAGGCAGAGCCTCAACAGGTGCTTGCGATATCTAACGGCAGATGCCGTGGCGGCACCTCGCACAAACATAAGCATAGATTGTGCAACTTGCTTGACCTGATGCCCGAATCTAGCGAACTGGGCACCACCATTCAATGACCTCGCACACGCGATTTGCCCAGATATAAGATGGTCTACGAAGCTAACGCTTTTTGTGGCAATTCGCAATATTGTGGACTCCGCATGTCATGGCCAGTCTGATCCAACCTCCAGAGCCCTCCCCGTTCGCTTCCCTGAGCAGGTCCGTCTCGTACTTCTCGTTCGCGCCTGCTCCGTCTAAGGTTGACATTCTAGTCTTGTTTTCAAACCTGTCCGAGAAGCTGGTTCGTCCACTCCGCTCCCGATGCGACTGGTGAAGGCACTCCGCCGTAGTCCTCTCAAGGCACTGCAACTACGTTGCTGAACGGCCCACGAATGACAACAGTTGTCCAGACTGCGTCTCAACGAACATACCGTATTCACCACGAGATTGTAGTATCTGTGTGACCGGTTTTTGCTTCTTTGTTATAATCGGCATTGTAAGTAACCTAATTGTTAATGCTTGCCCAGGTGCTTGGCCGTGTGCCGCACCTGGAACACGTTGACTCGAATCCTTGTCGCCGAGCTCAACTTTGAGAGGAGTTTCGTCGTTCATTGTGTAGTCGATGTACAAGAGGAGCTCTACATTCGGCGTGTTGGCAATTGCTGCCTCAAGCGTGTACCGCGTATTCCTATCATTGTGAATTATCGTTGCCGCCAGATGGCAGATCTTCGGCTCGATGCGATGTCGGCAAATGCCCAACCTGTCGGCGAGAGCGAGTTTGGTGCTGACCCTGAAGCCAGCGCTGCCCTGGCCAGAAGCCAGAGCATGGCGAGACAACTTCAGCATCTCATTGCCTACTGCTCTATCATGTTGGAGTCGATCTTGGAATTGGCGCACAAAAAGGTTGGAGGGGCCATTGATCGCTCTTTGACTTCATCACGCCTTGATCGATTGCCTGTAGTACAAGGTCGCTGGCACGGGGAGCTTTGGCAAGACGTGGAGCTCGCCTAGGGCCTGCATCAACGATGGCCGTGTCACTCCCACTAGCGGCTCGTGCTGAGGATGCCGACGTTTTCCTGGCAGCACGGGCCCTCTCCAGTTGCGCAGCCCTCCTCTCTTCAAGTGATAGTGGGCGGTCAGCTTCGGCACCGAGCTCGTCCAGCACCATTTGCAGTTCCATTCGTCTGGGTCTCTTCCTGGCTGGGGCAGCTGCCAGGTGGTCCGAAGATTCGGCGCCCACAGCCTCGCCACTGCCACCCGCGGGGGGACGATCCGCCACGGTAGCCTCATCATACACAGGATCATCATCCCATATCATATTGCCATTCTCGTTCGGAGCCGCCTCGACCTCAAATTCGGCAGCCGCTTCGTCCCAAGGATCGGCCATACCTCACAAAAATGCAAACAAAAAAACTCACAAAGTGTGGAAGCATGCTTAAGCCAAAACGGCTAAGGTCACAAGTGACAATCGTGGCGTGTGTCATGCTAAGGCTTTCCGGTGTGAGCGTATCCCTGAAGGCACGATTGTTACGACATCGATTCAGAAACTTGCACGCAAGGTGAGCTGTTCCGAGTTTCGATGACCAGATACATCAGTGCATCCTCCCTCTGTTCCTCACCCTCCTCCCCCTCCTCCTCCTCCTCCTCCTCCTCCTCCTCCTCCTCCTCCTCCTCTCCTTCTCCTGCTCTTCCTCGTTATCAGCTTATCCCCCTTCTCTTCCCCATCGTCCTCCTCATCTTCCCTCCAGCTCCCCCTTCCCTTCCCTCTCCTCTCCCCTCCAGCTCCCTCGTCCCCCCCGAACCCCGCTTTCGGCAGGGGTAAAGGAAAGTGAAGGAGGGAGGGGGAGGAGGAGGACCAAGAGGAAGGAACAAAAGGATGGAGGTGTGCAGAGCGAGGAGGAGGAACAGGGGGAGAGCAGGAAGAAGCGCACATCACTGAATTCAAGACGCGTCCAATCGCACAACCACCCACTCCCCAGACGGGAAAGATACGCCAGACTACAATATCAAGCTCTCGGTTGCGTCATTGTGAAATATCATCCTCATTTTATAATTTGGGAATATGGTTTCGCGGCGATTTCCCCCCTCGCCCTTCTGATAAGTTATGGTGTCATATAAAGCTCTCAAAAAGCTCTCTGGGGAGCCCCTGGGGCTTGGAAACCTCTCGATTCGCGCTCTCCCCTCTTTAGAGGGAAGGCACTTCATAACCCTGGGGCCTGGGATCGGTGCATGCGTTCTCCGCGTCGACCCAGCGATGCCAGAACCTCCGACGCCCATTCGAATAGGAGGACACGAACTGTACACCTGCACCGATAGTGGCTAGGCCCACCCTGGGCCCAGGTTCGGCAGGCATGAGCTGGATCAAATCGCGATATCGGAACGGATCGGAAACGGGGCGGATCTCCAACGAATCGTGAGGAAACGAATCGAAATCGTATCGCAACGCCCGGCTCTGGCTGGCCCCAGCCACAACTGGCGAATGGAGCCGAACCGCATCGAATAAAATCGAAACCGCGGCCCCAACCAGCGAGTCGAATCGCACCGATTCGGATCGTGGGCGGCCCTGATCGGTGCATGCGATCCGAGTGGACCCACCGGTACCAGAGCCTCCAGAGGAGCCCTGCCGAAGAGAGAGCAGCCTGTGCGCGGCCGCACGCGGGGCGGCCGCGTTCTCTCAAGGGATCGAGCGGATGGTCCGCGTCGCTGGGGGCGCCGCCTGCTGCCGTCGGTTTTGAGACAGCTAGCTGCCCTGCGGGATCCTCCTCCTCCTCCTCCTCCTCCTCCTCCTCCTCCTAGGAGGCGCGGGACTCTACTCCTCCTCCTCCTCCTCCTCCTCCTCCTCCTCCTCCTCCTCCTCCTCCTCCTCCTCCTCCTCCTCCTCCTCCTTATTTTGTTTGGGGGGAGCCCTGCGATCGCCGACAATGCACTGGTGGGCCCCTCTCGATCACACCAGCGTGCCGAGGAGGAGGAGGAGGAGGAGGAGGAGGAGGAGGAAGAGGAGAAAGAGGAAGAGAATGGAGTGGGAGTTCGAGGAGGGAGGTGGGAGGCAACATCGATAAAGTAGTGATAAGAACGAGTGAGAGCGATTAAGCCCGACTCAAAAAAAACATGAACCTGGATTGAGCCGATCAAGCGGGTTTCAGCCAGACTAAGCGTGACTCAGCCGGATGAGCACGGTTTTCGACAAGGATGTACCAGCGCCGATGCTGAACATAATATCCCAGCAGCTGCAACCAAGAGGGAGGATCGAGGTGAGGTATTTTGCCACTTCTTTAGCCTTCGAGGGCACCCCGGGACTTCCAGACACCTCCACAGGCCTCCAGGGACCTCGGTGTGCGGCAGCTTTTGCTATCGGCGGGCTCGTGGCGCGTCCCAAGCCGACCAGCCAGTGCTAGTCCTCGTCCATGTCGCATCCCGAGTCGCTGCAGCTAGCAGCACCGGACTCCAGGTGCTCCGTCACCTAAAAGGCCCACCGAAAAGGCCTTTCATGATATCTACGTACCCTCCGCCCCGTCATCCTCGTCGTCATCATGCGCATCATCTCCGCTTTCGTGTTTTACTCATCGCACCACCGTCCTCAACCTCATCACCATCGCAATCACCATCGCCATCACCATCGCCATTACCATCACCATCACCATCATCAGCATCATTATCATCACCACCACAATCACCACCACCACCATCACCATCACCATCAGTATCAGCATCATCATCACCATCATAACAAACCAGCATTATCAAGCATCATCATCACCATGATCATCATCTTAACCGTCATTATCACCAGCATTACTATCAGCACCAATATCACAATCACCTTCACCATCAAACCATCACCGAGACCATTAAAATCACACCATCATAATTATCGTCATCATCCTCATCAACGCCATCATCAGCAGCATCAGAATCACCAGCATCATCAGTACCATCATTAGCAGTAGCAGCAGCAGCATCCTCATCAGCACCAGCACCACCACAAACATCATCATCCTCCTCAACATCAGTAGCAGCATCATCGTCATCACCAAAACCACCATCACCATCACCACCACCACCACGACCACCACCATCACCGTCATCATCATCATCAGCAGCATCATCATCGTCGCCATCATCATCACCACTAAAACCGCCACCCTCATCATCATCATCATCATCATTATCATCATCATCATCATCAGCATCATCATCAGCATCATCATCCTCATCCTCATCATCATCATCATCATCATCAACAACATCAGCATCAGCATCAGCATCATCATCGTCGTCATCGTCATCGTCATCGTCGTCATCATTATGCGCATCATCACCATCGTCATCGTGATCATCGTCATCATCAGCATCACCATCACCATCACCATCATCCTGATCCGCATCCTCACCCTCATCCTCTTCATCCTCCTCCTCACCGTCATCAGCATAAGCGTAAGCATCAGCATTAGCATCAGCAGCAGCATCAGCATGAGCATCATCATGAGCATCATCATCATCATCAGCAGCATCAGTATCTGCATCATCAGCAGCATCAGCATCCTCATCACCAACAGCATCATCATCAGCAGTATCATCCTCATCATCATCATCCTCATCGTCATCCTCGTGGTCATCAGCACCATCATCACCATCACACCATCATCAGTATCATCATCAGCCTCATCATCACCATCATCATCAGCATCATCAACATTATCGTCATCATCAGCATCATCGTGGTCATCAGCATCATCATCAACACCATCACCCTCATCAGCATCATCATCATCAGCAGCATCAGCATCGTCGTCGTCGTCATCCTCATCATCACCATCACCAGCACCATCATCCTCGTCCTCATCCTCACCCGCATCCTCATCCTCATCCTCCCCAACGTCATCAGCATCAGCATCATCATCAGCAACAGCATCATCATCATCATCTGCGAGGGCGTCTTCTGCTTGTGATATACTGGTGTCAAATCCAAACCTCCCCCACTGTGAAACCGTCCTCCCTCCTCAAACATCTCCCCCCTCCTCTATACAGTCAGTAGACGAATTTGCTAGTGAAAGCTTGCCGTGGGCGGCTGGAACGCTTGCGCTCGGTAAGAGCGCATGGCTGCAACCCACATCGTGTGCGGCCGGAATGCTCGCGCTTAGTAAAGATGCATGGCCAAAACACGCGCCATGCGCGGCTGGAGTGCTCGCGCTTGGTAAACATTCGTGGCTGGAACACGCGCCGTGGGCGGCTGGAACGCTCCTGTTCGGTAAGAGCGCATGGCAGGAACCCACGCAGTGCGCGGCTGGAACGCTCGCGCTGGGGAACCATGCATGCATGACTGGGATCTACGCCGTGGATGTCTGGAACGCTCTCGCTGAGCTGGAATCCCCACCTTGGGCGGCTGGAACATTCGAGATGGGGAAAAAATATCGGCTGGAACTGACACCATGGGCGGCTGGAACAACCCCTTCTTGTCGGCTTCTAGCGGCTGGAACACTTTCCCTGGTAAGAATTGAAGGCTGGAACCTCACCTGGTTTAGGATTGTAAGTAACAGTATCAATAAATCGGGGGGAAGGGGGGGGGGGGCGACGGGCAAGGGGGCGGGGATCCTAACATTGTATCCACGCCTCGCTCCCAAACTGGTTAGTCCGGGCGCTCGTTTGTCGGTCAGTCGGTCCATCGGTCGTCGACGTCAGTCGTCGTGGTCTCGGTCGGTCGGTCGGTCCGTCGGTCGTCATCGGTCGTCGTCTCGGTCGGTCGGTCGGTCAGTCGATCGATCGGTCGTCGTCGTTCGTCGTCGTTACGGTCGGTCGATCAGTCGTTCGGACCGGTCGTCGGTCGTTGGACGTCGGTCGGTCGGTCGGTCGGTCGGTCGGTCGCTCGTCGTCGTCGTCGTCGTCGTCGGTCGTCGTCATCGTCGTCGTCGTCGGTCGGTCGGTCGGTCGGTCGGTCGGTCGCTCGTCGTCGTCGTCGTCGTCGAGGTCAGTCGTCGTCGTCGTCGTCGTAGTCGTCGTCGGTCGGTCGGTCGGTCGGTCGGTCGGTCGTCGTCGTCGTCGTCTCGGTCGTGGGTCGTCGGTCCACAGCTGGATCGCCCACGCCATGGCGCGCTCTGAAAGCGCGCCACTGGAGCCAAAGCTGCTACGGATGCAATGAGGTTGAGAACAAGACGTTGGACCTGAAATCTGCCCGATACGATACACTCATTCAAATTTCACTACCAACATTAGTCCACTGACTGCAGGGGGCCCTCCCCAGCCACTTCCCCCTCCACCCACCCTCCCCCCGCTTCCCTCTTCACCTCCCATTCTCACTGCACCCACACCCACCCACACCGTTTCCGCCTCCCTCCTCATTCACCCTCCCTCTCCCACCCTCCCAAGGAGAAGGGACAACTACTTAAGAAAAACTGTCGGAGGTCTGCCTGGATGTCTTGGATCGGCGATGACCCCCCCCCTGGCGCGCGGAGCGTGCCAGGGGCGGCGCGGGAATCGTCGTCACGGGGATCCAGCGCAGGTCCACGAAATCCGCGCGGACATCCGAGGTCCTTCGTTTATACAGCTTCGTATTATTCGGGGCAACGCGAGAGTGGGCCATCTCAGGAGGGGAACATCGGCCCCGAATCGGCGATACATCGCTGGTCGATCGGCGATAGGCCCCCGAGTGCGAACGCACGTTCCTGGGCATGATGGGGCTATCGGTCCCCTATCGGCGATCAATGGAAGATTGGGGTCGATGCGTACCGCCCTGCGCCTTTCCCCCCCGAACTTTGCGCCGTGGCTTTCGGGTTATAACTCGGCTCTCCTGCGGCCGTGCGGGACAATCCGGGCACCCCTGGAACGCCCTCGGCGAGGCGCAGCTGATGGAAACCAACCCGGGTCTCGAAAACGATATAACGTCCGAATACCCCCGAAAACCCCTTAACGTATCCAACCCTGACGTTGCCCCTGATCCCTATCCTCGAACATCGAACTTTGAGGCTCGAGGATCGAGTGAGTAGGAGGGAGATCCTCCTCCTCCTCCTCCTGCTCCTCCTCCTCGATGTTGGATCCTCCTCCTCCTCCTCCTCCCTCGATCTTGGATCCTCGTCCTCCTCCTCCTCCTTCCAGGATCCTCCTCTTCCTCCTCTTCCGCCTCCTCCTCCTTCTCCTCCTCCGCCCCCTCCTCCTCCGGCCTCCTCCTCCTCATCCTCCATCCCCCTGTCCCGAGCCACCGCTTCGAGCACGTCTCGGAACTCATCCAGCTCCACGTCGAAGTGCGCCCTCGCGGCCGCGCCCCAGCCCGAGCGCAGCGCCGCCCGGGTCGCCGAGGCCATGCGCTTCAGCGGCGCGCACGGGCCCGCGCCGGTCACAGAGTGGACGTGAGTGGCCTCGAGCAACAGCACGGATGAGGGGAGCCGTTATAAGGGGGGACTGGTTCGAGGTTCCAGGTACGAGGTTTTCGGACCTCGGGACGCTCTCAGGCAGCTGCGACTCGCCGAGGGCGTTCCAGGGGTGCCCGGATCGTCCCGAACGGCGGCCGGAGAGCCGAGCTATGACCCGGAAACCACGGGGCAACATTAGAGGGAGACTGGCTCAGGGGGGGGGGAACTTCGACCTAGAATCGGGGATACATCGCCCTTAGATGGGCGACAAAGCCCCCTGATAACGAATCCGAACGCTGCTGGGCGGGGCGGGGCTATCGGGCTCTTATCGGCAATCAATAGGCGATTGGGGGCCGACGCATCCTCTCCTGAGCACATTCCCCCCCTAACGTTGCCCCTGAAAGATCGGTCACTGCTGAGGGGTTCGTCATCTCCTCCGGGAAGCCGACCCCCCAGGGCCTCCAGGGACGCCCAGAAGCGTCCAAGATACCTCCTCGATACTCGATCGGCCCTCCTTCTCTTCCTCCTCCTCTTCCTCCTCCTCCTCATCCTCCTCCTCCACGGTTGCCGCGGGAACGTCGGAGAAGATTACCAACCCGCAAGAAGGGCACACAGTTCCGCCCTAGGCAACTTCAGGGCCTGTGATCCCCATCCCGAGGCAAGGAGGGGGAGGGCCTAGTCGCACACAGTTCCGAGTACCGAACTCATTCACTGCTTGGTTTTGTACCGCCATGTGTTTTCTATGTGTGACCGTTGCAAGCAATAGCATGAAGAGACGCCAGAGAATGTGTCAAACACACGCGCTACAAGCACAAAAGGCTTGCATTCAGATTTTGGCTGAGATCCGTCAACATCACTCGTACGACGACTACTTTGTGGGCATTTCAACTAATAGTCTCACTATGTTTGCCAGCGTGGACCCCAAACCGTCTCAAGCAAGATACGTTGTGCGATAACTACAGATGTAAATATGTGAATGAATGAACAAATACATACATGTATATATGTATGCAAATTTATATACATATGTGTATGGAGCAATCGACGTGGAGCGATGTATGGGGTCCCAACTATGCGGTGCGATACGTGTGGTGCAAGATGTGTGTTGCGATACATGCTGTACAATGCATGGTGTGGAGCATACACCGTGCAATTTATGTTGTGCAATGTGAATATACGTGTGTGAATATGCGTAGTGGTGCAATATATGTTGTGCGACATATGTGGTGCATTGTTTGTGGTGCAATAGATGTGGTACAACATATGTGGTGCAGTATATGCGGTGCTATCGATGTAGTGCACATGCACAAATCTCTGTATATAGATATGCGTACATATATAAGTATATGTGGTATGTGTGCTGTGAGCTATCGTGTGCAGTATGTGTTGTGGTGGTCTATGTTGTTGTTATATATATGGTGCAATGCACGCGGTACAGCCTATGTGGTTCCATCGATGTGGAGCAACATAAGGGTACAGACTGCGGGATGCAATAGATGCGGTGCAATCTATGTGGTGCACCCTATGAGGTGCAACGTATGTTGAGCAATAGATGGTGTACCAAAGTTTGTAGTGCCATATACGTTGTGTAATCGAAGTGGTGCAATATGTATACACATAAATGTATGTGTACACACATACATATATATACATACATACATACATACATACATGCATACATACATATATACATACATAGATTCATATATACATACATACATACATACATACATACATACATACATACATACATACATACATACATCCATGCATGCATGCATGCATGCATGCATGCATGCATACATACATACATACATACATACATACATACATATATTCATACACATGTAAATGGTGCAATCGATGTGGTGCAATCTGCGGTGAACTCTATACAGTGCAATCTCTGCGGTGCAACCTACGCAAATCGGCGACGGGGGGGGGCGACGGCGACAACATAGCCGCTAGACCGCCAGACAAGCCCAGACGACGGACGGCAACGCGGCGGCGACGGGGCGGCAGCGGTGGCAACCTAGCCGCCAGACCGAGAGGCAGGACCAGACGACGGAAGCGACGAGGCGGCGACGAGGCGGCAACATAGGCGCCAGACCGACGGACAAGCTCAGACAGCGGGCGGCGACGAGGCAGCGACGGCGGCAACAGATCCGCCAGACCGACAGGCAGGCCCAGCTCCCTAGTAACAATCAAGAACCCCTAAGCGCAAGCCCGGTTAGGGGAAGTATTCCCCCCAAAGTATCCTGTGGTGCTGGGTCCTCCCTCGCTTTGATGAAACAGCACCCCGCGTGTCCCTCCTTTCCTCCTCCCCCCATCCCTCCCACGATCCATGTTTCTGCATTCCGCGCGTTCCCGTCGGCATTGTCATCGTCAGCACCTCCATCATCACCATTATCAATGTTCATGACCCCATGGGCAGGCCCCAGCGGCTGCGTTCGCATGCGCCCACCACGCCAATCTCGGCACACCTCTCACACGCTTCGCGGCACAATACTTTGCTCCACCGAAGGCCCCAGCGGCTGCGATCGCATGGGCCCACCGCGCCCACTTTGATACATCCCTCACACGCTTCGTGGCCCCATTGGGAGCTCCACTGAAGGCCCGAATGGCTGCGTTCGCACACGCCCACCGCGCCCATTCTGGTACACTTCGCACACGCTTCGTGGCACCATTGGCAACGCCGCCGAAGGCTCCAATCGCTGCATTCGCACGCGCCCACCGCATCCACTTCGGCACACCCCTCAAACGCGTCGTGGCTGAATAATGCGGTCCACCGGAGGCCCGAATGGCTGCGTTCGCATGCGACCACCGCACCCACTTCGGCACACCCCTCACAACACGCTTCGTGGCCGCATAGGGAGCTCCACCAAAGGCCCTTGTGGCTGCGTTCGCGCGCCCACCGCACCCATGTCCACACACCCCTCACACGGTTCGTGGCTCCATAATTCCATAGGTAGACCCACGGGAGGCCCGTGGGGTTGCGTTCGCACGCGCCCACCGCACTCATGTCCGTACACCCCTCACACGCTTCGTGGCACCATAGAAGAGCTCCACTGAAGGCCCGAGGGGCCTCCATCCCGGCACACCCCTCACACGGTTCGTGGCCCCATGGGGGACTCCACTGAAGACCTGGCTGCAAGGTTCGCCGGTGTCGACGCCTTCATGCCTGCACGTCCCTCCCACGCTTCGTGGCCCCATCAGGGACTCCATTTACAGGGCCCCAACGGGTTCGTTTGGCGGGGTCGTCTCCGTTGGAGGATGATGCGAATGAAGAGGATGATGACGATGAGGAGGAGGAAGAGGAGGAGGAGGAGGAGGAGGAGGAGGAGGGTTAGCCGAAGACGAGGAAGGGAGGATGAGGATTGGGCGGCGAGCAGGCCGCGATCCCGCCCTGCGACACCTCTCCCAGAGGCCCCTTACGTAAGATTACTGAGGGAACGCAAACGGATGGAAATTCAAGTCGCTTTCTCGGCGGCCTCCGTGCGTTTTTGTTGATGTGGTTTTCTGAAATATCCTATCTCCGGGGGGGTCTCAAACGGAGGGGGGGGGGATTTTGAGGGTGGCCCTGGGAGGGGGAGGCGGCCTCGCCCCACTTTATAGTACGCATCCGGCTTATTTGATGCATTCGAACTCCGCCTGGCAGGGCCGCCGGAGGGCTTGCGGAAGCAGCGAGAGCAGTTCGCGACACGCACGAAGCGGTGACGGAGGGAGGCGACGGTCCTCCCCAAGGAGTTGGGCTTCACCGGATTGATCCGCGAGGCCTGACCTGAGATGAAGAGCGGCCCGCCCGAGCCTCGACCTCCGTCGACTTCCATTGTTTAGCCTCGCTCAGCGGACCACGCGCACGTGTCGCGCGGACTCACCAGCGCGCGTCGCGCGGAGCTGCCCGACTCCCACGCGCTCTGCCCAGCGCCTGGCCCGTTGTCAGCCGCCCATTTTTTGTGCTCAGTAACGCGGACAATCCACGCAGGGCGACCGGCGCACGTCGCGGGGACTCCGCGCTGCATTCTACCCGGAGCCGCAGCCGTCGGGGCGCGAGGACAATCAAGGGAGAAAGATAGGAACAAAAACGGACACAAAACGGCGTCGCACTGGGTTTGGGGCACCGCGGGACAGGCGGGCAGGTGCGCATCGCACGACGGAAACAGGGAGAAGGGAGACTCCTCGCTTGCCCCCGTCAGCCGTTATCCCCATTCACGCCGCAGCTATTTTGCTGCACCCCCTCTTCATCTCACCTGCATCGCTACACTCGCAGTTAATCCTCCTTCTCCTACCTCCCCCCATCCCTGCCTGGTTCGACCCTGCGCAACGCCATCTTCATCATCATCACACTCCCCTCGCGCGCTTCGTGACCCCATGGGAAATTGAGTCCCACGCGGCGGCCCCTTCTGCTCCACCAGCCAAAGCGGCCATCTCAGGAACAGCGCCTGCACCTCCAAACGCGGCGCACAAAGCCCTCGTGAAAACCGCAAGTCCAGACAATGCTGCCGCAGCAGTAAGACGGTCCTCACCCTTTTCACTGCCCCCCCCCGCTCTGTCAGCGCCAACCTCAGGGCGAGGTGGGGGCGGGGATTCTGCCGAGGGGGGACGCCTTCGCAGTCGTCGCAAAGGCCTCGGCGCCAAGGAAGATCACGAGCGGAACACGGCGCCGACCACGGCGGGAAGCTCGATGTCGCAAACGATGCCGGCGAGACCGAAGCTGTCGCATCGGTTGACGGCGTAACCCAAAACGCCGCAAGAGGCTGACCGGAACAGGCCACCGTAGCCGAGTGAGAAGCGGTCATGCCGCCCTCGACCCAAACAACGCAAAGGCGGGGCCTGCCTCAAAAAGGGAGCTCGACGATCACCGTCCACGGCGACACGGTCAACAGCAGCGAGGGCGCCTCCAGGCTGAAAACCACACCTGGGAATCCGCAGCGAGTCTGGGAAGGACGCGGGCGGCGCAGGTCTGACGACGGGACGCCCTTGGCCACGACACCTCTCATCCTCCAGGGGGGGGGGGGCGCCAAGGCTGCTCGACCGTGGCCACTGCGTTCTCGGCCACGACCTTCGCCTCGTCACAATCGCCTACCTCAGCTTCAAGCACCGCCAAAGGGTCGGGCGTGGGGGTAGCCGACCGCGGCTGGTCCGCAGAGCCGCCGCAAGAGTACCAACCAGGGCCATGGTAGACCCACGGGCGCCGCTTTTGTGCCTCGCCCTTGGCTGCGCGAGGGGGATGCGGCGGCCGTTTCTGGCCCCTGGTGCCCTTGCCAGCGGTCGTGTCGTCGGCGTCGTCTCTGACAGCAGGAGCGTAGGCGGCGGCGTAGGGGTTGGCAGCGGGCGGCAATGGCGGCGACCCGAACTACCACTGGCCAGCTGGGAGCTTCTCAATCGCAGGGTTCGGCACGAGCGGGGCGTGGCAGAGGTAGCACCACTGGTCGTTCTTGAAGTCCCACCTGTACCTGCAACTCTGGCACGCGATGTGCTGGCCAGACTTGTTTGGCCTTTGCCGCCTGCGCCACCTTTGTCTTTCTTGTGGCCATGGTTGCGGCCCATACGAGAGGGGCGCTTGCATGCCCGTGGGTGGCATGAAATAGGATGCTGGACCCTGGGGCGGACAAGGCAGCAGCTCAGGTCAGGGAGAACTGACCGAAAAACGGAAGCCAGCCGCGGAATAGCTGCATCCACTTGGTTAAACTGAGAACCTTGCATCTCGAGCCAAAAGGGCTACGGAGGGGGAGGATGAAGGCGGAGGAGGAAGCGGGGAGGGAAGAAGGAGGGAGGGAGGGAGGGAGAAACGAAGGCGTCAGGAGCGATGGAGGAAAAGGAGGGAGGCGGATGGTGGAGGAGGAGGAGGAGGAGGAGAAGATGGTGACCCCTTTGGCACTGCCCGGTGGCCGTGAGGCACGACTCGACCTCCGCGCCTGGGGGGCGCGGCACGTGCTGGCCGCCGCCCGGGGTCGCCGCCTGGAGCGCGCCGTGGGCAGACACCGAGGGCGCGAACACCTACAATAGCGGGCTCGAGGCGAGAGCTGGCCCATCTTCCTCCTCCCTCTACTGCTCCTCCTCCTCCTCCTCCTCCTCCTCCTCCTCCTCCTCCTCCTCCTCCTCCTCTTCATTCATCTCCTCATGCATCCAGAATCACCCTCCTCCTCCTCCTCCTCCTCCTCCTCCTCCTCCTCTTCATCATCATCAGCAGCAGCAGCAGCATCATCATTAGCAGCAACAACATCATCATGGTCATCTTCTTCATTATCATCATTACCATCATCATCAAAATCATAATCATATCATCATCAGCATCATCAGACTCGTCATCCTCATCCTCGTCCTCCTCATCATCATCGTCAGCATCATCAGCGTCATCATCGTCATCGTCATCAGCATCATCAGCATCAGCAGCATATCATCATCATCATCAACATCATCATGACTACCACTACCATCATCTTCATCATCATCAGCATCATTACAGACACCATGAACATCCTCATCACAACCATCACCATCATCATCACTATGCATACCATCGTCATCATTCATCACCATCACCACCATCACCAACATCATCATTATTATCATCATCATCATCATCATCACCATCAGCTTCATCATCAGCAGCATCATCATCATCAGATTCATCATCCTCATTATCATCATCGTCAACAACAACAGCCTCTTGCGTCGTCGCCATCATCACCAAGCACGTCGACACTACCATCCCTCTTCCATTCCTTATCATTCTCATCCTCCCCATGAGAATCATGATCGACATCCTCACCCCATCAGAAGAATGGCTTGTATCAGTATGATGCTAATCATCAGCAGCAGCAGCATCAGCAAAAGCAGCATCAGCGTCGTCAGCATCAACGTCGTCATAATCATCGTAGTCGTCCTCCTCATTATCCTCGCGCCCTACCTGTCAGCTGTATCCATGTTCTCCTCCTTCCGACACCTGTTCCTCCTCCTCATCGTCCTCATTATCATCATTATCATCAGCATCAGCATCATCATCGCCATCGTCATCATCATCATCACCATCATCACCATCACAATCAGCATCATCAACATCATCAACATCATCATGATCCACAACATCATCATCAACATATGCATCCCTCCAGTTCCGTCATGCCGCATCTTCCTTCTCGTTATCCGTCGGTCCCCCACTGTGAATACATTGTTTTATATCCGTTCAGACATTCATGATCGTCATCATCCTCATCATTGCCATTACCACCACCACTCTCATAACCACCATCACCATCATAATGCACTTCGTAATCGTCGCCGTCGCCTTGCCATCCTCATCATGCTCACACCAACACAATCTCCGACATCAGCATCATCACCATCATCATCAGCATCATCATCATCAATGTCACCATCAATGCCACCATCATGCTCCAGATCATCGTCGGCCTCGAAAGCGTCGGTGTCACGGTCATCACCATCACCAGCATCATCATCAGCATCATCATCAGTGTCATTGGCATAGGAATCATCATCAGCAGCACAATCAACATCAGCATCACACTCACAATGGCAAACACCATCATCACAATCATGAATATCCTTGCTGACGTCGTCATCGCCATCATCACCGTCATTACCATCGCCATCAGAATCGCAACCCAAACCGTACTGATAGTCAGAATCGTAAAGTACCACTGATCATCCTACTGAGCATCATCATAAACACCATGATCATCACAATCACCACCATAAACAGCATTATAATCGCCATCACCGTCACCATCATCATCAGCATAAGCATCATCCTGATCATCATCATCATCGTCGTCAGCATCGTCGTCACCATCACCATCATCACCATAACCATCAGCATCATCATCGCAATCCTCATCATCCGCATCCTCATCCTCGTCATCATCAGCATCATCATTGTCGTCATCATCATCAGCAGCATCCGCATCCGCATCCGCATTCGCATCAGCATCAACAGTATCACCATCATCGACTTCGACATCATCCTCTTCTGACTATTTGCATGGATACCTCTATGCCCAAACACTGCTCGCAATTCGGGAGGTCCTACTTCTTGTCGAAGCACGTGGCATGCGCCTCTTAGATTCTCGCCCGGTCGCCGCCTGTGGCCGCCCGTGGGCGCCTCGTCGTGGGCGCCCCGTGTGCTGAACTGGCACGTCCGAGGGCTCGCCCGGTCGCCGCCCGTGGCCGCCCGTGGGCGCCTCCTCGAGGCCCAGTGCGCTGGCTGGCGCTTCCGGGGTTCTCACCTATGACCGCCACTGGGCGCCCCGTGGGTGCCCGGCTGGACATCACTTGCACCACACAAACTCAGTCCTTTTGGCCAACGCTGACAAACAGAGCGTGTGTGTGTGTGTATATACACACGTTCGAATAACACAGCATCACCACCATTCATACTATGCACACATCATGGCCATCCTCATGTTCCACGCTCGTCATCCACGCCACCATCGCCATCGTCCGTCTTAGCATCCATGATAGCATCGTCGTCAACACCATCGCAGTCGTATCGGCATGATATTCACCGTCGTCGACAAAACAGCATCACCAACTTCATTAACCATCGTCACAATTGCCACCATCACAACTTACATCATACTATTCATCATCCCAGCCATCATTGCTAAGCCATGTATCCACCGTCATAGTCATAGACATCGTCATCAGCAGTCCCCCTCAGCAGCGTCATCATGATAAGCACTCTGATCATCACCATCTCGAGCATCTGCATCATGATGACCGAATTCCTCGCAGCAGCCACATCGTCGTCACCCAAACCATCATCACCACCCTCATAGTCATCCTTACAACCGTCATTATTCAGCGCCCTCCTCACCATCATCATCACCATCATCATCATCATCATCATCATCAGCATCATCAGCAGCATCATCATCATCATGATCATCACCATCACCATCACCATCAGCATAACCATCAGCATCATCAGCAGCAGCAGCATCAGCATCATCACCAGCATCATCATCATCATCATCATCATCATCATCATCATCATCATCATCATCATCATCATGATCACCGTCATCGTCATCATCAGCATCACCATCATCAGCAATAGTAGCAGCATCGTCATCATCGTCGTCATCATCGTCACCATAACAGTCCCCATCACAATCGCCATCACCATCATCATGATCATCATAGTATCGCCACCACCACCACCATCATCAGCAGCAGCTTTAGCATCGTCTTCATCATCGTTTCTCGTCGCCTTCGTCGTTTACGTTTTTTTCGTCGACATCGCCGTCACCATCGCCGTCACCACCATCGTTGTCGACGTCATCCGTCCTCTGGCCTCGGCCTCGGCCTCCTCCGCCTCCTCTTCCTCCTCTTCTTCATCCCCCGCCTCCGCCTGCCCCTCCTCCTCCTCCTCCTCCTCCTCCTCCTCCTCCTCCTCCTCCTCCTCCTCCTCCCCCTGCTCTTCTTCCTCCTCCTCCTCCTCCTCCTCCTCCTCTTCCTTCTCCTCCTCCTCTTCCTCCTCCGCCAATTCTATCCCCTCTCTTGTCCTCCCCCTCCTCCTGTACCGTTTTTGCGGCGGGCACACACTAGCTGCACAGCTGTTGCGCATTATGTGGCGATAGAAGCGACGTGTGCTAGTAAGTAGACTCAGGCGCAGTGGCCAACATATTGAGCTGCAGATGGCACAGAGAGCAAGAAAAAAATTAGTAACTCACAAGGCACAAGGTAACTAAGCAGACAGCCAGTGGGAGAGGAGGAGGAGGAGGAACACAACCATAACCAAATCAATAAAACCAACATGAAGCGGACACCGTTCGGAGGGAGACCCTGAATACGCGTGCAGCAGTAAATACACACGCGCAGTGTAGGGCGCATGCTGAATGCGATGGGGCCGTAAGCAGCTGGCGCAGCTAAGCAGGATGATGGCTAAGCGAGCGCGCAGGGTGGTGGAGCTGATCGGGATCGGCACTAGGTTACTGAAGATCAGGAAGAGTAAAATAAGGGTTGGCAGATGTACTGATCGGCGGTCCAGAAGGGCGGTTGCCCTCCATCGAACGCCAGGATAGTAATTTGTACGTGATGCCTGGAGGTGTGAAGGGTACTTGATGCCTGACTGTGCGAGGGGCACGGTGAAAAGGTATAACGCATACTGGTCGAGCGACAGTGGCAGACAGCGGCGATCGCAGATAATGATCATAAAATGTTGAGGCGGGACAGGGTGATGGAGGCCAGTAAACGAGACGAGCGAAACACCATGTCATACATTTGGACCGGCGCAACGGGCGAATTACCTTGGTTTGCACTCGGTACGGGCTGCGCCCTGGCAGCGCCTCGATTACCCTTCCCCTGCCCAGGACTCTCAACCTCCACCCGCCCGCCGCCTCCCCCACGGAAGTCCGTAGCCATTTTGGCTCAAGCCGACCACAACGAGCAACGCCTGGCGGGTCGAGCCGGCTCGGCATGGTCCCCTGGTCCGAAGCGGCTGGTAGCGCATTGCAGGTGGAGGTGGCTGCGGGACTCGCCACTGGTGCGTGGCCAGACAAAAGAAGCAGCACGGTCGCGCGGCGGCAGCAGAATGCACGGGCTGTCTCGTCAGCTGCCAACATCGTCCAGAGGCTCGTCAAGGAGCTGGCGGCGGCCGAGTTGAAGATCAAGCAGCCGAACAAGCAGATCGAGGCGTTCTTCGGCGAGCCTGAGGTGGGGGCGCGGCTGGCGGCGTACGCGCCTGCGGTAATCGCCCTGCCGGCGGGTCGTACACCAAGCGACCTCGATCGGCTGTCGCACGTCGCCCTGCATGCGGCTGCTGAAAGCCTGGACGTCGGCACGGCGGCCCCCAGAGAGCTCAGGGCAGCGCAGCGGGGGCCTCGCCTGGGAGCTAGCGCTCCGTTGCGGCGGGACACGGACGACGACGTGGAGTCGGACGTGGTTGCGGCCGCGGCGGTGCCTTCGGTGGAGCAGCTGGACACGGCGGTGATGTCGGGCTTAACCCTGCTCCGCCTTGGTGCGGTATGCTGTGCACACGTAGTGACCGAGGATATGGGCAACGGTGAGGGCGAGACGGCAGTGCTACCCTGGACGACGAATCCCCCTCGAGGTGATGCGCGAGCAGACCGTGCTCCTCTGGATGCAAGCGCGGCGGTATGGGCAGCCTTTCGTGCAGCGCCGCACTGTGCTGGACGGAGCGGCCAGCCGCCAACACTGGGAGGCCAGCGAGGCGCGGGCTCGGCTGCTCGGCGAAGCCGACGCCCTGCGGGGCAGTGCAGCGCTGGGCACTCTGGGACCCCCACGGGTGATGACTGCCCTTCCGCTGGCTGCTGCTGCCCGTGGCGGGGATCCTGGCGGTCTCGCAGCCGCGATGAATGGGTTCGGGCAGGCCCTCGATGACATGGAAGCGACGGTGCCCGCCGCGCCGCCGCCGCCTGGGTGCAAGCAGATGTTATCCCTGGTGGTATTCGTGGTGTGCGTGTGCGTGAAAATGGTCCTCATTGCCGCCATCCCGTTCGCCCAGGTCGCGTGGTGCTCGCCTTCCTGTACTCCGTCGCGCTGTTCGTCCACGTGGTCAGGGGGGCGAGGCGTGTGTGGTTGACTACGTCATTGATCCTGGTCGCATCTTTTTTTATCATTTCCAGCAGAAATATAAAGCGTAGGTTCGCGTGTTGTTGCGGGGAGAGTTGGGGTGAGAAGTCAGCTGGGCATGGGGTAGACATCTACAAACCTGCCCATCGTTCCTCCCCCATTAAACCTCCATGCAAGACCCACCCGAACCCGCATGATAGTCAAAAGGTAATGCTGCAAGGACGGTATTGCAACAGCCTGGCTGGAACAAGGATGGTCGGATTTGGTCTGGCTACACGGTGGGGTACTGTGCCATGCGTAACGAAAAAGACTGGACGAGAGGTATGCACAAGTCCAGGAGCGCGTTTCTGTATGTTCGGCAATGACGGGCGTCATGGGGGGGGGGGAGGGCGGGGGGGGGTATGACGTGACGCCCCCCCCCCCGCCGTGTGGCTCCGGCACCACAGCCGCGCCCGCGCGAACGACGCGACGAGCGACGAGCGACGAGCGACGACGACGACGCGAGCAGCATGTAGTTGGCGATCTGCCCATTACGCTTGTGTACACCATAACGCTCGCGTGCACCACACCGCGCGTGTGCACTACAGCGCCTGCATACGCCGCAACAGCCGTGTGCAACGCACCGCCCGCGTATACCACAATACTTGGGAGCACTACAGCGCCGGTGCACATACACCGCAGCAGCCACGTGCAACACAACGCCTGTGTACACCACAGTGCTGGCGTGCACCGCAACGCCTTTGCACGCCACAGCGCCTGTCTACACCACAGCATCCGCGTGCAACGCAGCGCTGGTGTACACCACAGTGCCTGCGTGCATAGGACAGATCTGCTGCGGACAAGTAAACGCCACGCCAGGAAAGTTCTGATAATCGAATGCGACGTTTTTCCCTCATCCCTCTTCCTCCACTTCCTCCTCGTCATCCGTTTCCTCGTCCTCCTCCTCCTCCTCCTCCTCCTCCTCCTCCTCCTCCTCCTCCTCCTCCTTTTCCTCCTTCTTACCCCCTGTCGTGCGGCTTGGCGTTACAACGCACGTGCGCATCTCAACGTGCACCGCAGAATGGTCGATTGAATCGGTCCACTTGGTTCTCGGACGGCCAGTTTAGCTGGAGCCTCCTGGACGCAAATGGGAGTTAGGGTGATGCGGGCGGACTCGGGGGGACTCGTAGATTCCAGCGGCGCTCCTTTGTCCATGAGGATTTGTTTTCCATTGTTTTCTTTGGAATCCACACGCGCTCCATTTTGTCACAAGAATTCCTTCTGAAATTCTATACACAACAGTGGTGCTGTGTTGCACAAGGCTGATGTGGTGCACACAGGCGCCGTGGCGTACACAGGCAATGCAATGCACGCAGGCATTGTAGTGTACATGGTGCTGTGTTGCGCACGGCTGATGTGGTGTACGGAGGCGCTGCGGTGTACACAGGAGCTGCTGTGCCCGCAGGCACGGTGGCACAAACTGACTCTGTGTTGCACGCGGCTGCTGTGGTGTACATCGGCGGTGTGGTGTACACAAGCGCTGCGGTGCACGCGGGTACTGTGATGTACACAGGCGTTTGGTTCATATCGCCACGTACATGCTCGTGCTACCTGTCCTCCGTCATTCCTAAGCATTCCCAGACGCCGCCAGCGCGAAACGTGACGTTCTCGAACCCCTCCCCCCCCAGATGATTGCCGTCATCGGCCCGAACTTAAAAACAGGCCCCAAGCGCGTCCGCGGGCACGACGACGATGAGCGACGAGCGACGAACCACGAGCGACGACGATCGACGACGACGACGACGACGGCGACGACGACGACGACGACGCCTGCGGACCAGACACCTATGCGGATTCCTACGCGGACACCTACGCGGATCCCAACGCGCACGGCGGCAGTGCCCGGAGCGCATTGGGGGGGGGAGCGTTACGTCATAGGGGGGGGGGAGCGGGGGCCATGACGCCCGTCATGCCCCAAGCAATAAAGAAACGGGCTCCAGAACTGTCTGAAAATGCCCACCTAATCCAAGATGTATCGGAGGTCGTCCTCCGGCCCACCCAGGAATGACCCCTGGGACCTCCAAGCAGGGCATGGGGCAAGGGAGATAGCCAACCAACAGGAAGTGGACGTCGTCTTATGAGGCCGCCAGTGGTGCTCATATTGGTGTGGTGGCGTAGTTGTAGGCTGCTTCGGTTGGGATGGTTTGGCTGGTGGTAGATTGCCTGGCAAGTGCTGTTAGTCGTTGTTGGCCTTGATGTGATTGGCGTACTGATTATATTGCTGTCGGTGGTGCTGAATGGCTTGAAAAAGCGATTGTGAGGCGTATGCGCATGCGCTTGCGTGGCTGTTGGTCAGGGTGGTCGCATCGGGTTCGTTGATCACGTTGTGTATGCACTGGTGGGCGGTCGCTGATTTGAGCCTGAAGTCGGGAGTGTGTCTAGTATTGCTGCTGTAGGTGTTGCCTGCTGGTGTAGATGATGGCTGGTCGTTTTGTCTTAATGGGGCGTTGGTGGATGTGGTGCTTGGTCTGCAGGTGCGGAGTCGTTGAGTTCGATCTGGGGTGGCAGTTTCTCGTTAAAGATTTATGCGTACTGCGCTCTGTTAAGCACCGGGGATCGAAGTCGAAATGATGGATGTGTTAACGTGGACGGCGTGAACTTGCTAGTGCTGCACTCATTACTGAATTTGGCTGGGCACCGATGCCAGTGATCGATCTGCAATGCGTCAGCTGGAGAGCGATGGGCGAGACTGGAGTCGGGTTAGTCTAGTCGGGATGTGATATCGTCGGAAGTGTGAAATGTTGCGCGAGTCGAGGGATCCTATGTGGCATCGTCGTGATGTGGTATCTTAGGTTGTGGAGGGTCGACTTGTGTGGGATGTGAATCGCTGGTTGCATCGACTCGAGGGATCCTATGCTGGGGGGCGGGGGGGCACTTAGGGTTGTCTGGGGTAGGTGATGTAAGGATGAGCTGTATGGGTTGGGTGAGAGGTGAGTATGGGTGTTCGAATCGTACTGCGCCAGTCCAGTGGTTGAGGTCACGAAAAATGTGTTGCGGTGCAGTGTGTATGATTGGTTATACGTAGTGTGGGTGCTGGTGGGTGTTGGATGGTGTGATGTGGCGGGGTGTACTGTTGATACTGAAGGATGCACATGATGGGTGTGGTGATCCAGCTCTGGAGTTATGGAGGGCGTCTGAAAGTACCTTGGTAAGTGAAAGTCGCTCTGAGCCTGTGTCGATGTTGCTACCTGGTGGCCCATTGATGACAGTAATGGTCGGTTGCTTGGTTGGTGTATGAATGGATGCCACTGTTCTCGTCGACGGCGAGGTGGTACCTTTTGTTGACCTGCTGGTTGCAAATGTTGTGGAAACTCTCGGTCAGGTCCTGAATGGTACCGTCCCTGCTGTAGTCTTGTGATGACCGTCGTGCTTGTTATGTTGCGCTAAGTGTGAGAGCTCATCTCATGGTAGGTTGATGATGTGCTGGTTGCGTATCTGGTTAAGGTGTGGTTATTTGTCGGTGACGGGTTGCTTCTCTCGGCGTCGCTGAAGAGGTCGGAGATGAGGTATGAAGTAAGGTATGTTTGCCCAGTGCGCGGAGATGCCCGTGTGGCGGTGCTGTTGGAGCCACTTGGGTAGTACCTGTGAGAGTCGGGGTTCGAGTAGCTGGAAGTACGAGTGGCTGATGTTGGGCAAGTCGGCGACGGTGATGTGTGCAGAAAAGTCGGTGTGTGCCCATCCTCTTGTCCTCCTCCTCCTCCTCCTCCTCCTCCTCCTCCTCCTGCTGTTCTTATTTTTGGGCAGGCTGTTGGGCGTCGCTTCGTCTGTAGCGTCAGGAGGCCTGCACGCGGCCACGTGCAGGCAGCAAGCACAGTACCTCCTCTGCCACGGTGACGATGAGCGCTGAGGAGGTAGGAAAGACAATGTGCTGGCGGACGACGAGGCCCAGCATCAACAACACCAATACATGAACATGTTAGTCCCCCCCCACCCCGCCACCACCAGCCCGCCCGCGAGAGGACCTCCTCCTCCTCCTCCTGCTCCTCCTCCGCCTCCTCCTCCTCCTCCTCCTCGCTCTCCTCGCCCTCCTCGCCCTCCTCGCCCTCGCAAGCACCTGCGGGAACGTAAGCGGTAGCGGTAGCCGCGGCCTGTGCGCGAAGCTCAGCCGCCTCGCGAGCGGGGGCAGCTCGCTGCACCAGTCCACCTGGAAATGAGGGGATAAGGAGGACAAGAGAGAATGACGAGGGGGAGGCGGAGAAGGAGGAGGAGCAAGAGGAAGAAAGCCCAGACCTCCGGAGACTCTTCAACATTTTCGGCCTCTGGTCCGCGGGTCCATCCAAAGACGGCTCGGGATGAAACACTGATCCCAGAGAAGGGGGTCGAGAGGACTCAGGCCCAGAGACTGGCAAGGATCGACTCGTCGAAGTCTGGGTGCGGACGAGGAATCAGGATGTGGAATCGAGAGTTTGGGCGATTTCTTTCTCAGGAGATCTACGGGGAACTCCGGAGACCTCCGAGGACCCCCGGAGAACTCCAGAGACCTACGGTGGAAGGAGGAGGAGGAGGAGGAGAAGCAGGAGGAAAAAGAAGAAAAAGAAGAAGAAGAAGAAGAGGGAGGAGGAGGAGGAGGAGGAGGACGATGAGGCAGGACGACGAGGCAGGACGAAGGGATGAGGGTTTTGGAAGGGGGGTATGGAAGAGGCGTTTCGAGAAGCCTGCCGACCCTGTCGGCGTGTGTGGGTGGCTTGTCTGTTCGACTCGTGCTCTTCGTTATTCGTCAGTTCTCGTCTCTGCCAGCTCCTTTCTTGCGGTCCACATTTCCCTGGGCCCTTCGTCGCTCTCTCCCTTTTCCTGGGCCCTCTCCCCCACGCGCGCCAACCAAAGCGAACTTGAGTAACGTCGAAATTCAATCGACGGGAAACCCCCCCTTTGATCCCTCCCCCGTCGGGGGGTATCCCGGGGGTAGGTCCCGCTGGAGATACGACTCGGTCCCGGGGGGGTCGCCACCCAAATACGCATCCAATCAGGGGGGTCCTGGGTCCCAGAAAAAAACCAGGACGGGCCAAGAGTGCCCGAAGAGGCCCTCAAGACGGTCCAAAAGGGCACCGCATGACCGAACGATATCCAAGACGCCTTCATGGCTTCCTGAACGCCCATGAGGCCCGCAAAGCGCCCGAGAAGCCTCCAGGAGCATTCCCAAGAAGGCCCCCACAGGCAAAATCCCACCAGCCCTTTGGGCGACAGGTGGTCTCAACCCTTCCTTCGGGGAGGGGAACCCCCCCCCTCCTCTCCCCGAGGTTGTTGGGGAAGTTTCGCGAGGTGTCCGAAGCTCCTTTTTCGGCAACTGGGAGGGCGAATTTCTGATACCACTCACGAGGATCGTGGCCCCCGAGGGGGGGACGAACAACGAGGACCCCCCTTCTTTTGACCGACCGTCTCCAAGATGGCCCCAAGCGGCCCTCAAGGGCTCCCAAGAGGCCCCCAATAGGGTCCCACGAGCGCCCAAAGAGGCTCCAAGAGGGCTCCAAGAGGCCCCCGAGTGGCCCCCAAACGGCCTCAACATGACCTCCAAGATGGCTCAAGATCGTCCAAGCTGGCTCAGGATGGTCCCAAAATTTGGGCGCCCGAATTATCCGGGGTAACTCGGGTCCGGGGTAAGTCGGGTTTGGATTCCCGAAAAAGGAACCCGAGTTATCCGAATTACCCCTGATGATTCGGGGCTCTGGACGCCCGAGTTATCCGGGGTAACTCGGGCCCGGGGTAACTCGGGTTTGGATTCCCGCAAAAACGAACCCGAGTTATCCCTGGCCCGAGTTACCCCTAATGATTCGGGGCTCTGAAAAATACCCCAAGATGCCCCAAGACCAAACCAACACGGCTCAAGATGGCCACGGAGCCCCCCCAGGAGGCCGGCCTCCCTCGCTGTTTGATTATGCGTGTATCGTCCTTTCTCCCCCCGTCAGCTCTCATGGGCATATGTTCTGGATGGGCTGGCGGGGATATTTTTGCTCGCGAGCGCAATCGGGAGAGCCGCGCGCCGTCACAAGGGTCAAGCAAGCCTAAATGCCGCAGCCAAAGACAGACGCAGCGAGCAAGCAGCAAGCTCAGAAGTCAAAGACAGCCAGGGCCGCGTGCCGAAGAATGGCCCTCAGCGAACTGGCCTCAGCGAACTTGTCCTCGGCGAACTTGCAGTTGGCTGGTGGGGGTATTTTTTAAGCAGCGGCCGCGGGCGAGCGCGCCGGCGGCGAGTCAGGTCAAAGCGGGCTACGCAGAGACTAATCAAGCAAAGGAAACGCGAGAAAAATAAATGGAGCAACGCGCGAGGCGACGGCTAAGCGCGGCCGAGGCCTCAGGCGGGCGGCTGAGGGGACTGAGACCGAAGGGAACTGCCAGCGCACAAAGCTGCAAGTCCGTCTGGGGCGCCAAACGTCGGAAAGTCAACGACGGCCAGCGACAACTCCGAGAGAGAAAACGCGATGCCGCACCTGAGACGACTGCGGTGGCACCAGGGTGGCCGCGGCCAACGAAACGTCGGTCGAGGTAGGAAAAAAGAAATGCAAAGGCGAGGCCCCGGACGTCGCGGAGCGCGAGAACCAGGGTGGCCCAGAGGGCCGTCGGCCAAAGGAATTGTTGCCAGGAGCGAAAGCTTTGGCAGGCTGCAACTCCCAGGGTGGCGGAAGCCGAGAGACCCCTGGCAGCAGTACGCACGAGCGCGGGGAAGCGGCATAGCCGCGACGCAAGCCAAAATTGCGGGACGGGCAAATGACCACAGCCACTGTTTCTTGTTTGCGCCGCCTTCCAGCGGGCCGAAAAAGAAGCAGCGGCTGCGGTCATTTCCCTGGTGCCAAGCTCAGCGAAAATGACCGCAACCACTGCTTTGTTTCTGCTGGCTAGAAAGGGGCAACAGAAGAAAAGCAGTGGTTGTGGTCATTATCCCGTCCCAGAAAAATGGAACGAGTCACCGCGTGCGCGTGCGATCGAGGGCGTCAGGTACACGGGCCCGACTAGACGCAACGCACAGGGCTGACACCAGGTGATGACGTGCGCACGAATACCTCGGGGGAGCCAAGCCGACCGAGGACCATCCGCACGCTCGGAGTGCTGGACAAGACAAAGCCGGGACGGCCACTAACCCAGGATGAGGAACCGCGATTTGAGCGGAAAGGCCGAAGCCAGAGCAGTGGGGGGACAGCACCACCACACGACGAAGCTAGGGGTGAACCGCGATTTGCGCGGAATGAAAGAGGCCGAGCGGTGACAGAACAGCCGCCACCCGGCAAGGAGCCGAAGCCAGGCACCGCAGGGGGGGGGGGGGGGCGCCCCGACCCTGCGGGGCGCCCAGCGGCGCGGGACACGCGCCCCATGGGCGGGAACAATCCAGAGATCGTGGCCGAGGGGCCAACAATCATGAGCCAGAGGTCCGCTTTGGGGGCTTCTTCCAAGGCCACCGCCACCTCCAACGCCACCACTTCCACCACCATTCCCAGTACCACTATTGTCATTTAGGTGGATTCATAACCTTATATGGGACTCACTCGAATCGCGCCATGAATGTGTACCGAGCATGTATTCTGAATTATCAATAACCAATCTAACACACTCGAATATTGTAATTTAGTTAGGCTTCTGAATTTTGGGGGCACATCGGCAATGCGTTCGTTTCCCCTTCCAAAGGGGGGGGGGGATAGGAGTGCCACGAGCGCACTTAGCTTGGCTCTTCCCTCTTTCCTTGCTCTTTATTTGCTCACTCTTTGCCCTTATCTTCCCTCCCTCTTTCCCTTCCTTGTTCCTCCCTCCTCGTTCCTCCCTCTTTTCCCTTCCTCTTCCAGCCCGTTTGCCCTCCTCTTTCCCTCCTTCTTTCCCTTCCCCTAATTTTTCATCGCCCCCTTCCACCCCATCTCGGGCATTTCTCCGCGTTCTGCGGCTTTCGCGCCAGGCGCTGGGAATTGGGTGGATCACCCTGCCCCTGCGAGGAGGAGGGGGAGGGGGGGGGAGGAGGAGAAGGAGGAGGAGAAGGAGGAAGAAAAGGAGGACGGGGAGGACAGGGGGGAGGAGGGAGAAGGGAAGAAGGAGGAGTAGGAGGAGAAGGGGGGGAGGAGGAGGAGGAGGAGGAGGAGGAGGGGGAGGAAGAGGGGGAGGAGAAGGAGGAGGATGAGGAGGAGGGGGGGAGGAGGGGAGAGGGGGGAAGGGACAACGAGGGGGGGAGGTGGAGGAGGACGGGGAAAAGCACGAAGACGACGACAATGATGACGACGAAGACGGGCAGCAACAGCGGCGGCAGCAGCCGTGGTGGCGCCGACGACCAGGCCTGTGACAGCGCCGCCCAGTGGCCCATTGGGCCGCACTGTCGCGGGCTGGGTCGTCGCCGCCGCCACCCCGGGGCCAATTCGTTTCACGAATGCGTGCACCTGTCTGCGATGCCACGCTGCGCAGATCTCTGAGCTGTACCTCGAGTTCTGTACATGTTATGCTGGGAAAGCGCGATGTTCTGCACTCTGGGTTCCTGATTTGTTCTCTTCAGCGCCAATCAAACAATCTATTGAAAATCAACTCCAAATGTTTTTTATTGCCAATCTATTGCAAGGTAACTCGCAACGCTAGGTATTCCAATGCCGACACATAGGAGAACTTGCAGTTGATTTCCTCCGTATCCATCAAACAATATATTGCCAGATCTTGCCAATCCATATGTTTTCATTGAATAGTGCCAATCCATTGCAAGCAAACTCGCAATGTTAGGTATTCCGATGGTGATGCATAAGATGTCGAAATCGAACTCGAAATAGTACGCACCACTGCCATTGTCAATCATAAGCTTGCCTGTTGGACTCTCTGCGCCTCATTGTCAATCATACGCATCATCGCCTGTCTCTCGGATCGTGCCAGAACCATCTCGTATGCCAAATTGAAAGATTGCCCGCCCAACTCAATGGCGAGCTCAGTGTCCGTGAGGTGTGACAAAACATTGAGCATCGTCTGGCCGATGTCTACTTGATCTCCTTTCCACACGATGTCATCTCTGAACCTGGATGGTACCAACATGCTTGCCATCACAGTAGTATCTGGCGCTGCGATGTACGACAACTTACTGCCTGACGCAGTGGGGACGTAGTTCCGACAAAAAGCTTCAGCCACTATCAGTTGACGCTTGACCCTCGCATCTGGTGCTTGACGTTTCGGGCTATTAAACGCTGGATGCCAGAACTCTGGGCAATATCTCGCTGGGAAAACCATGATAACCATTCCTGTGTTAGAAAGCCAACTCATCGACTCGAATGCGTTCGTCTTGAATGTATTTGGATATTTGAAATGCCCTGTAGTTCATCCCGGCGCTTCTGCCCAATGAGGCGAACCCCACATTGTCAATCCAAATGTTTTTCCTTGGGCAGCGTCCACGCGCGTGTATGCAGTGCAAGGGCCTCGCGAAGTGTCGAAACCGGCGATGCCAAACAATGGCCCACGTGCGCCGCCTCGAGTAAGACCCAAAACGTGCTCGCAAGTCGTCTTCTGCAACTTCATTGCCAGCTCGCCCTCTATATCTGGGATGTCTGCTGCTACCAAATCTGTGAGATACAACTTCTGAAATGCATTGTTGTCATTGGTATCTCCATTGTTAGATCCACGAACTTCCATTGGCGCGTCTATGATATCTTGATTTTTAGATCCCATAGCTGCCATCTGCGTGTGCGTCGGCCCCAAGCATTAGACACCCAGGTGGTGCGTTCCCAACGCGCAGTCGGCAGATACTGACGAAAAAAGGCCTGCTCGAGCCTTAGAGTCGGCAACGGAACACAAACTCACAGGGCCATTGCAAGGTCACACAACTGCAACACAATGCAACCCTTTCAAAAATAGGGCAACCCTCAGCGCTCTTGGAGCCGACGCCGCCCTCAGGGCCCCCCCAAAAAAAAATGCCTGGAGGAACGGCCCCTGGTCACCGCCGACGGGGCCTCTGAAGGCCCGAGCGCCACCTCCGGGCAAGCTAAGATGAGATAAGCAACACTCAGCTAAGAGCATGTAGCTGGGTAAACCGCAGGGCGCATGCCCAGAGAGTAAGAACCCTTCCAGGCAGGGTCTAAAACATTCATTCAGCACAATGCATTGCACCGCATCATTGCCCACGCTATTTTCTATTCGCAGTTGCACATTGAGATGCTTTAAAGGATTCGCCAACTGATGCCTTGCGCGCGCAGGAAGCAGCAGGCAGATCAGAGCAGAGAGAGGCCCCTGCGCTCTCCTGCCCTGGGTTCGTTCCTTCTCCCTGTGTATGTTTCTATGTATTCGTTATGTTTCTGTCTCATCTCTTTCTCTTTCCCTCTATCTCTCCCTCTCTCTCTTTCCTTCCCTCTCTCTCTACTTCTTTCTTCCCCTCCCCTCTTGCTTATTTTTCTCTCTCTCTCTCTCTCTCTATATATCTCCTCTATCTCTCTCTCTCTCTCTCTGTGTTCCCTCTCTTTCTTTAGTTTATGTGTGTGTTCTCTTTTTTTCTCTCTCTCTCTCTCTCTCTCTCTCTCTCTCTCTCCCTCTCTCTCTCTCTCTCTCTCTCATCCTCTATCCTCTCTCTCTCGCTCTCTCGCTCTCTCTCTCTCTCTCTCTCCTCCCCCCTTCTCTCTCCCTGCGTTTATCAATTCCCCTTCCTTGCCCCTCTCTTTCTCTCATCTCTCTCTCTCTCATCTCTCTCTCTCTCTCTCTCTCTCTCTCTCTCTCTCTCTCTCTCTCTCTCTCTCTCTAGTCTCGGCTCGAGAGCGCCCTGCACTCAGACCGCAGCCGCGACGCGAAGCGCCCCGCCTCGGAGCCAGTCTCCCAGGCCTCGCGAGACCGGAGGGGTCCCAGCAGGACCCTACTGATTCGCGTCACCTCTTCCCTCCCACCAGAGCGCCCGCCGCAATGGCCCCCGCCAAGCCGGAGCGCCGTCGCTCTTCCAAGCAGCCGCCGAGCTCACGTCCTGCAGCTGAAGGATCCCTCCTCCAACGCAAACAGGACTGCATTGCAGCCTTCAAGCAAGCGGGGTCTGACCGCCCCACAGCCGCATACAACGGGCTCGCCGAGCTGAACGCGGACGAGCTGCAGGCCACGTACGACATGCACAAGACCAACACCAAGAAGCTCGGCAGTGCCTTGATTCGCATGTGTGCCGCCAACCAGATCAGCTACACGCTGGATCACCACCAGCGCAGCAAGCCTAAGCGCAATGGTGGTGACACATCCTATCCACCAGCTGCGTCCGCACGTCTTCAGGCTGCGGACGCCAAATTTATTGCCTTGGACCCGGCCTTCTGGAAGGTCCCAGTCCTGGCCGAACCCACATCACTCGACGACGGCAAGACGTACAAGCCCAGCATCAGCCTCCACGACTACGAGAGTGGCGAGCGGCTGCTGCAGCACCATCTCGAGCAGGGTAAGCGTACCACGGGTCAGCTCGCGATCGCTGTCATGGGCCCAAAAAACGACAACTACGTCGGCACCGAGCTCGCCGTCCCCGTGCTGAAGCGCCACCCCAAGGCGCCCAATGTGGTTCACACGCACGTCCCCGTGACCGTGTACCAGCTGGGCACCAAGGAAGTCGCCTGCACGGAAAAAGTAGCCGTCGCCACCATTGATCCTGCCGTCCACGTATGCTGGATTCGGGTGACCATACATGAAACCGAAGCCATCGCCGCAGTCCCCTCCATGCATCAGGCCTTCGAGGATCAGTTTTCGGGAGGCGCACCCGTGAACGGTGGTCCACGCGCCAAGGGTCCTTTCCGAGGGGATTCCGCTCCACAGGACAAGGCGCGCCAAAACCAAAAGCACAGGGAGTCTAAGAAAGACGCGCGCCGCCAGGAGCTCGACAGTCAGCTGCAAGACACCTTCAAGGCCCTTTTCCACGGCAACTTTAAAGCCGTCACTATCCTCGAACCCTGCAAAAGTCTAGGCAGGTACGGATCTGGCGTCGGAAAAAGGTCCCTGGCTGCCACTTTCGGCGTCAGTCTTCAAGCAGTTGACAAAGTCTTGGCGGGTTCGGGGCAACTCGGCGCCACCTACGACCTCAGCAACGTA